CAAAGCCCAAGCCGGTGGCTTCCTTTAGGGAGTCAACCTATCTCATACTTGGCCTTCCTCTTTTCTTGCTACTTCAACATTTCCCAGAATTATTGTAGATAATACCCATGGATACACACAATGTGATGTAGTGGAAAAAATGATGGACTAGGACTCAAGAGACCTATCTCTGCCATGGAAACTCACTTGGGGGGTGGGTGGGTTTGGAACTAGTAAAAGCATTCCTTAAATAACTCAGTTACCCTGAAAGTGCTGTTAAGAGTTGTTATAAGTCAGTTCTGACTTGATAGCACGTAACCCCTTATTGATTAGTTACATTTATATCCCACCTAGTTGTCACCTGAGCAGCTTTCTATAAAACCAAATGGTAACTCGAATCTAAGTTCGTAAGTCGAGTCCATATATTCCTATGAGAGCTGTTCGTAAGTCGAAACGTTCGTATGTCGAGCCGTTCGTAAGTAGAGACCCCACTGTACCCGCTTGGGCTGGGCTGGGGTAGAGTGGGGAGCTCCCCCCAACCACTTGGGATTATAAATTTATATAGTTGCTTTTCGGAGCCACTGAAATTCCATATTATAACACTACTGTACCAGTATCCCGTGTGCTGTTGGGTAGCACAGCACTGTTACATTTATGTAATCTAATTTGAAGTAAGAGTGGGTGACACCTTTTATTGGATTAGGATGTAATACAAACTCCCTTGGAAGTAGCTCTAGGCTACAGAGGGAGACTCTTCCACATCAGGGGCATGTAGAGAATTGGGCGTGCGCACTCACAAGAGAGAACAAGCAGGCAAGGGGAGGGCAGTGGACTCTTCCCCTGCCTACAAATTCACCCATCGACTGGAAAGGGGGATTAAAAAAAGAAAAAGAAAAAGAAAGAGAAAGAAACCAGAAGCAAACTTGTCAGATGGGAGCATGACCAGAGGGACAGACATTGACCAGAAAAGATTTCCAAAGTAATGCACCAGGAAGAAAAACTGGTCTTTCCTGCCTGCCCATTAATGCATGGAACAGACAACAAGATTTATTGGGCTAATTTCAGAGACAACACTGCACTGATAGTTGATTAACCTAAGCAGGTAATAATATGTGTGTGTGTGTGTGTGTGTGTGTGTGTGTGTGTGTGTGTGTGTAATCACTTTACGAGTTACTAAGTGAAATATGAAAGAAGAAGAGATTATGCACAATGATTTACCATCACAGCATGCTGAAGATTAGGATTCTCTCCATATCTGACCTTCATTCATCAAGACACTTCAAAGTCACGTTACCATAAAATGCAGCACTTACAAAAACTGTTTTACTTGTCAGTTTTTAGATGAAAAGCCACTTAAGACCATCAAATTGTACACTGCTTGCCAAGAGCATTTGATTAAATACCTTTTTTGGAATGCTGTTCATCTATAATAGTTTGTTATTAATTTAATGAAGCTCCATGAATTGGCTATTAGGATAGCTTGTGTACGGAGCTGGGCTGCAAACTTGTCCCTATGTATATAAGAAGTTGTAAACAGAATACTTACTAAATTTCCTGCCCATACATTCCTATGTTAGTAATTGGTGATGAATCAGCAGCCTATAATAGCTAAAGTCCAAAATACCTTTTACAATTTCATATGTTTTCTTAGAAACACGTAAGGGAAAATTGCTAGCCTAGGATTTTTACTAAATAGAATCTGTCAGCTCAAGTTTGCATATAGCTCTTTCATACATAGAAAAACAGTGGTTTTTAATTTTATTCATTCCGAAATAAAGGATGAGATTTTTAAAAAGTTGCATTTCATTTTTCTTCTCAGGAAGCACTTCCAAAATAGAAGGTGAAATACCCCTTGCAAAGGCTAGTACAAGGTATATCACAAAAACATTTTTTAAATCTTGGGGCACCTTTAAGACTAACAAATTTATTTTAGTGTGCACTTTCTATGGATTATGATTCACTTCTTCAACTACAAGAAGCAATGTTTGAAGAAACGGATTGCAGTTCATGCAAACTCACAGTAAAAAACCTGGTTATTATTTGAAATGTGCCACAAAGCTTTGTTTCTTGTTTTGTTCATGTGGTACACAGTATTTGTCCTTTACCAATAAGAGATAAATTGCTCACTTTATGATTTTTATTGTCAAATTAGATGAGGGGCATGACTTCAGTTGTTCATAGCCCAGACTATCACCAAAGTCATTTTGATCCCAATCCCAGTGTCTTTTGGTATTTCAGCTAGGTTGGGAGAGAAGTGATCAAAGAAATCAGCTTGTGAAGCTTCTGGGATTTTAATTGATGACAGTGATCCCAAATAAGCTTTGGAGTAATACAGAAAAAATTAAATGGTGGCTGCCACACTCAGTTGCCCAGAGGAGATGTGAAATGGAGAAAGAGCAACACTCAATACTCTTAGCTGCATTCCCCCTTTGGCACATAAATCAGACACATACATCTGTTTTATACATGCAAGAGGTAGACACATGAAGAAGAAATACAAGCTGCCACCTTTATAACTAGTTTGTCCCTCTACCTTACTCATAGCACTATACTTCAAGGGCTGCAACTACAAAGTATGACTTCAAGTTAATTAATCTTGGCGTATTTCCCTTCTGGAAACTAAGGTCTATCTAGAAATAACTGGGGGTAGGGGAACCACACACACAAACTCTTAATGTTTGGCTTCATGTTATTCACATGTGAAAATGGTTTTGGAATTCAGCCCACCACTCTCATGCTTTCCCAAAGATGAATAACCTTCAGAGTCCAACTTATAGCCAACAAGAATGGTTCAGATTGCAGGAATGGGGAAAAAGATGAGAAATCATCTCAGCCCGACTCTGCCAACACAGTGGTCCTGTTTAAGCATAAAAATGAAGCACATTAACTTCAGTACTGCAGTAAGTAAACACACTTGCTTTTACAACAAACAACAAATTACCAGGCTACCATAAATATCCAATGTATTTGTTGTAGTTATTTGGCAGACTGGACAGGTCCACACTGCCAGATCACTGAAAAAATGGTCCCGGGCTCTGCTGAAGTCACCCGTCTCTTCACAAGAGCATCATGGAGTACCCTGTATGGCTGACCGTCACGAACAATGAGCAAGAGCACTCCACATTACAACGATTTGTTGCAGATCCCACAGGTTAATTATTTACAGGAACTATTTAACAAACACACACCCCTCCAAAACACGCATACTAATCTTCATCCTTCAGGAGATCTGAGCAGCAAACCTAAAGTTAATAAAAACCAATCCACAACAGTAAAGCTTAAAGCAGTTGAAACAATTAAGAGGGTGCAAAACCCTGTTCAAAATGTTAACTGCTTTTCTGCATATAAACAGCAATAGAATCATATAAGAGAGGAAGTTTGCATATTGTTGGCCAATACAAAAAAGGCCCTTCCTTATGATGTCACCATAAATACCTGGAGAGGATGAAAAGAGAGATTATATAGATGATTCCAATATTGAGGCAGGACAAAGTTGCAGAGCTTTGAATTTCTGGTTAAATTCCTCTAGCTGCACAGCAGAAATGCAGGGATTCACAGAGCAGAATCACTTCAAGTTCCACAGAGAACTTTTTGTCAACAAATTGGATCTTACAATCTCAAGAACTCACTCTGAGACAGTAATGGTATAAAGAATAAAAAACCATTTTCTTTACTAACAGCTGTGAAGAGATTAAACAGCAAACTGACAAACATGACTGCTTTCAACATCAGACTTCAACAGACTAAAAAGGATGGAAGAAGCGCTGAGCAGAGAGGCAGGAGGAATTCAGAAGCAGGAGGGGAACTATTGGTTAGTGCTGGGTAGACTAGTCAAACTTTCTAAAGGTAGCATGCAAGGTTGCAAAAACCTTACTGTAATCAGAATGACAGCTGAGACGTTGATAATAAATAGTATTCAACCCAGAAATTTCCAGAAAGGGGTGCAACTTGCACAAAGACATCCTTGGCTAAAGAGCATCTGGAAATACAGCTCTATGATTGCGTTCACAAGCACTCCCAAGATGCTAATCTCAATTTTTAAATGGAATCAAACCACCACATACTAAAAGCCTTATTGCAGACTAGAAGAACCTACGTCTTATCTGGATGATGTTTGTTAGCTCTAATCTAACTGATTTAGAACAAAAAGCACTGATGTAGAACATCTATACTGTACCTATACAGCATTATCAAAAAAGGAGGCAAATTTGGTGTCATAGTTGTAGCATAAAACTCTGGATGACCTCTCCCACCAGTTTCATGTGGAATCTACACTTTAGATGTTAAGAAAGCATGAGTGATATAAATGATCCCTGTAAGTAAAACAGTATGGGGTTAACTTTCCTCTGAATAGTTTCCTCTAGCACAAACTACCACACAAAATTTTATGTCCCGCAGTCAACCCAGACTGTCTGCACACAAAAATTGAGATTTTAATTTTGAACATCCTGCTGCATCAAAATTCTGGTTGTGTTTCAAACCAAATGGTTTAACCACAGTTCTCTAAACACGGTTATGATCTTCACAGTCTACCCTGGACATTGCTGTAACCAGTAACTGCAGTAACATGCAAGAAAGACCCACTTTCTTCTTTAAGCTTCAAAAACACACTCCAGAAAAAGGTCAAACATTCCACACACAAAAGCATACACCTCTTTCCAACTACAAGAAAACATACCTATCCGCCCCTTCCCAAGTTAACTATTATTTCCTCTATGACTCACTAGAGAAAGCAATTGTGTACTAAGTAAATCAACGGTAGTAGAGCATGGGCTGGCCAGAGAACTCAAATCTCTTTTCCCTTTTGTCTTGGTATTTATTCCACACCCCCAGTGTATGATTTGTACAGATCCAGACCAATGAAATTCAACAGAGCACACCCAGGCCCAAACCCCCAGCACTTGCCACAACCTATTCTTCACAATTCCCCCTTTAACTTACAGGGAAAAGAAAATGCCCCCTCCCCAAAATGAAAAGGAAAAGAGTCAAGAGAGTATTAGTACACTACGTATCAAACTTACCTTACCAGTGCATCTGGTTTGCTCAGTTGGTTATTAGGAATACAATTTTCCATTAAGTCTTTATGTGTGCTTGGGCTCTTGCTAGTGCATTTCTGTTTCTTCTCATTCTTAGCCGATGAGGAAGGGATGCTCCCATTAGTTGCACTGTGGCTGCGAGGCGAGGCGTTCACAACTCCACTAGCATTTTTGTAATTTTTGGATGAGGCAGTGCATGAGTCCTCCTTCAAGAGGTTTTCTGTACTTCCCACAAGATCATTATTTAATCTTTTACTACTGATATGGTTCTCCATATATTCAATTTCCTGTATTTTAGAGTCTACAGGTTGCAAAATATTGTTATTTATTCCAAGGTTATGTTTTTTCGCATCCTTGTCTTTCTCTTTCCCTTTTTCTCTATATTCTAGTTCCGGCAATGTTGCAGATAATTTTTTATTGGTTGAAATACCACCATTGTGTTGCAAAATCATAGAGGAATCCATATCGGACAATCCTTTGGCTGCTGAAATAAATAGAAAAAAGGCCAGTATTTAAGTCAACTGTATTACATTTTCTCAGTCTCATGTAATTTTGTTAGTTATTTATATTTATAATTAAAAACAAATTATGGGCAACAGAGAACTCACATTACAAACTATTGTTATAGCCGCCTAGAGTGGTCCGGTGGGCCAGATAGGCAGGGTATAAATCAAACAAACAAACAAACAAACAAATATTGCATTAGTAAAATCAAACACTGGTTCTTAACCTTTGTTACTCAGATGTTTTTGGACTGCAACTCTCAGAAGCCTTCACCATCAGCTCTGCTGGCTGGGGTTTCTGGGAGTTGCAGTTCAAAAACACCTGAGTAACAAAGGTTAAGAACCACTGGTCTATGACATTTCTGAATTAAAAGATTCCTGAAGAAATGTGTTGTGCAGCATGACTGTTTGCCTCCTGCAGCAATCTGAGGAACTTGATAAAAAAAACTTTTTCCTAGTGATACAGTTACCATTTCTGTAAAGATCAAAGCATTATATGGCCTCCCAATTCTTGTCCTTTCGCTATTAAAAAAAAGTTAGCGTTCAGCAAATATACCATTTGCATGGCATGAAAAAATTTATTCATGTACAGTATCTGGAAGAGAGAGTCTAGCAAAAAGTGGGAGATAACCTTTGGAGGAAAGATGACACACCCATGAAGAACCACCTTTTCTCCATGCATTCACAGGGCTAGCCAACTGTAACACCAAATTAATCTCACCAATGGCAAATAGAATTAACTTTATTAACCAGAATTAAGAACAGTGAGAAAGCAGTGAAGATCATCAAGTGACTACTGGTTGTAAAGGCTAGCCTACGGTGTGAGTGCCAGGTGCCAACTGAAATCTGGAGCACTGAGTTTCTTAGGCCGTGTGCATCTGAAAATCCCTTCTGAGAAAGTTCAGTAACAGGGTGAACGAAAACATGAAGGGCCTTCAACTGGAATTCAGTTATCAGAGGCTGCAAGACAACAACCCACTGTATAAAAAGCAGAAACTTTCAGAGCATAAAGGGAAATTTTCCATGTGGGGGGAAACATGGGGTGCAAATTAAATGAAATGCAGGAAATTCAGCATCAAGGAGAAAATTTCCAGTATGGAAATGTTCGGAGCATAGGAAGGGCCTCTAGAATAGCTGTGTCTGAAGACACAGCCAGGAAGACTTGGACCACTATCCTACTAGGCAACTGTGTAGCAGTTTTTTCCTTTTGTTCTCTGTCCTACAATCATTTATTCAGCTGGTGAGCAGGGGGACTGTGATGGCCAGCCAGCTAAACAGGTAGAATCACTTGTGTGATTGGTTTTACGCTACTGCTTAAGGCAAGATCTGAGGGTTCAGAATGAGCAGCAAAACTTGTTAGTCTCCAAGCAGCTGTTCCACTTGCAGTAACTCTTGTGTGTAAAGGTCCAAATCCTCTTTCACAGAGACTGGTTTACTGTCAGCCACATTATGGTCTATTCAGGGCTTCAATGTTCCGTGTTTGTCCTTCAGTACTTTCCTTCCAAATTAGAAGTGGATTCAGAATGAGCACTGTGCTAACCATCATGCTTCAGATGCTGTGATGTGTTTGATGGTATCAACCTGGCCGAGATATTTGGAGAAACTGTGAGTGGCAAAGTTAGAAATGTAGCTGAGCATGGTTCATACTAGAGGCTAATGTTAAAAACTGTGGCATGGTAAGATGTTTGTAATGTGAGCTGCTACTCCCAAAGGCTTTTAGGAGTAGCAATTGATATTTTTTATCTTCTTTCTCCTGACATGGAGCCTAGTGATCGCAAAACACCCTTGTGCAGACCCCATGGAACCTGGATGATTCTCATGGCTGCTCTACAGAGATAACAAGAACTGCAATTTCTGTTATCTATTGCTGCAACAGGATTACCAGACTACAAGAAACACAAAGGAGGGGAAATTAGTCCAGAGAGTGAAAAATAAAGGGAGAGAGGATTCACAAGATTGGATTCAAATCTGCAAACAGCTACACCTGTCCCAGGCAAGAACTTACCTTCCTCTGCTTCTCTCTCCTGTCTCTGTAGCATCTGTTGTTCAGGGGGTAAAGCTTGCTGAAGAAGTTGCATGTAAAATTCATTCTCTTTCTGCACTTCCTTTTGTTTTCTTAATCGCATTTTATAGCTCACATAACTTTTGAAGCCAAAGCCCAATGTCACCACAGGATAGCCAATACTAAAAGGAAGAGGGGAAAAAAAACAAGGAAGAATTTACTGAGACAGAAGCATAAGAGCAAACTAATAAGCAGACCAGCATGTGACAAAATATAACAGGATTACAATCCTTATCAGAAACAGAATTCTCTCAAGAAAGAGACAATGGACATTGATATTAATTTACAAAGTCTGATTATTTATACATGAAAACAAGGTTGTGGATTAAAGCAGCGGTTAACACCATGCTAGATTATCAGAGGACACGACAGATAGTGTACATCTATCATTGTATTACTGTTGGTTTGAGTAACCTTATAAGCAGCAGGGGGAAAACTATATTGTATGCTTAAATGTACACATACATATATATTTATTTACAATACTTTTACTGCATCTTTCACCTTAAAAAGGACTCAAGGCAGTTTACATCATTAAAAAGACAATACTTAAAAGCTAAAAGTGGTAAGTATTACAAATATTTAAAAAGTATTAAATGATTATAATATTTAAAATGGTGAAGAAAGTCAGAACTAAAAAGTGGTAAGTATACAAATATTTAAAAAGTATTAAAATCAGAACTAAAACACATTTAAAAGTAACAAGGCACAACAATCCATCTAAAAAACCCTTCTCAAGCAGGTCACTAAAGGAAAGCCTGCCTGAAGATAAAGGTTTTCATTTGCTTGAGGAAGGACAGCAACGATGGGACCAGCCTGGCCTCCTGTGGGAGGGAGTTCCAAAGTCTGGGAGCGGCAACAGAGAAGGCCCTGTCCTGTGTCTCCACCAAATGCACCTGTGAAGGTGGTGGGACTGAAAGAAAGACCTCCTCTGATGATTTTAACTACAGGACAGGTTCATAAAGGGAGATACAGTCCTTGAGATAGCTTGCACCCAAGCCATTTCCAGCTTTACAAACCAGCACTTTGAATTGTGCCTGGAAATGGACTGGCAGCAAGATGGGGGTATTATTGAACCCTGTAACCAACTCCAGTTAACAATTTGGCTGAAGCATTTAGATATACTGAACATCTTCCAAAAGCAGCCCCATGTAGAGCGTGTTACAGTAATCCATCCAGGATGTAACTAACACATGTGTCACCATGGCCAAATCAGACCTCTCCAGGAACGGGTACAGCTGGCACACTAGTTTTAACTGTGCAAATGCCACCTCTGAAATCTGAGCATCCAAGCTCAGACATGAACTGAGGAGTACACCTCCTGACAAAAGCACAGCCTGAAAACATGAGCTGTGAGTCAAAGGTGTGACATTTATTCTTCTATGATCTGGCTCAAGTGCACATCCTCTGAGTGTGCAGTAGGATTACCGGTCAGCCTGGTTACTGAGGTTACATCCTTTGCTCCTGAGAGACTTCTTTGTAAATTAAGACTGTGCAGAAGTTCCAAGCTTCAGCAAATTTCCTACATGAGAAGAACAACACAAGCATCTCTGTACTGACTCCTCCATTGTTACTACTTGTGAGCTACAGTGAAGATAGAATTTTGGCATGTGATGGTGTTAGTTGTAATGTAACTTTGCTCCATGAATGACTACATATTATGCTCCTTTTATTTTATTTTTTAGAAAAGTTGGAGAACATGACATTTAGGGGCTGACTTCAAATGCCCAACTGACCATAAAGAACACTGTGCAACTTAGAGTCATTCTCCATTTTTTATCCTGATCTTCCCTACAAGGTGGTTGTCAGGATAAAATATCTGGGGGTGGATATCAGAACAACATGAAGAGTTGCTAGAATAAAACTCAAACTACCATTATAATAAGAGTGTTCAGTCTGACAGAGCCCCATACAAAAAAACCCAGAAGTCTGGGGCATTAAGAAACGGTGCCAGAAACAGTCACAGTTACAACATACATATTTTTGAAGAAATGTATATACTGTACCTGACAATCGCTACAGCAGAACACATGTTTTTTAAGAAATCCATGTTCATCTTGACAAGTGATGACATTAACTGCACCAACTAATTATAGTACTACAGCGCATTAATTCCATTAAAGGTAAGGTTATTGACTCACTCTTGCTAAATGAGCCCTACTGACTTCAGTACAACTCATCTGGCAATTGAATGCAATTCTACCCTCTATAAAACTCAAATTATTTTAGCCATCTACTTCTTTTTAAGTTGCAACAGTAAGTAAAATAAGCTGCTAGGATCTGTAAATGGCACTGTTAAAGTTAACAGCGCATGTTCAAACATGCAACAGCTTTCCCAAAACATGTACAAAAACTGGCCCTCGTAGCTGCTAGGAGAAATCACCACCGCCTATGAAAGGTGAACATCTCCCATTGTCAAATCATAAAACTGCCACCAAAATATAACAGAAAATAACTTGGTGGAGAAAAAGTCAGTTGATAGATTTTATGCCGAAATTGCCAAATATAGAAATTAATGATTTTCCAGGATTTGAGCACCACAGTTTTCCACTTGGCCCTTGGAAGACTGTCCACGTTTCCATGTTTTTTCCCACTCAAAAATACCACCCACACCCTCTGGAGGCCACATGTGCAGTTTCATCACATTGTGGGTTTATTTATTTTATTTATTTATTTGATTTATACCCTGCCTACCTGGACTACTCGTCTATCTAGGTTCCTCCTCTGCCTTTTTAGGCCCTGGGATGGACTCTCCCCAATAAAAAAATACCCTAGAATTGACCAGCAGTTATTTCTTTTGGGGGGGGCGGCTTCCCCTCTGGTCAGTCCTAAACAGTTTTGGTGGGAAATAGCAAAACTGGACCATGGAGAGAATGAAGGGCACTCTTAAGACAAGTTTTTAAAAAATGAATTTAAGGGCACTATGGTGTTGTGGGGACTTTGTACAACCTTGCAGACTATACATTGCTTATATTTCATATACTGAGAAATGTAGTGAGCGTATGTGAAATAAAAGCCAGGAATGGTACTTCTGGAGACCTTAAAGCATAAGGGAGGCTGAACTGCAAGACCTACCAGGTGGAGCCGTGAAGGCAGTGTGGAGGAAAAAATGGCCCTGAAAACAATTCTGTCCTTAATAAAAGAGTCTACTCTCATACTCATACCTAGATGGAACTTAACACCACTAAAAATATGTTATATTAATACAATTCTGACCCCACTACTGGAGAAGTAGTGGGAATGAGACCCTCTTACTGACATGTTGTCATCATACACTTTTGTAATACCTTTTAGGGAGGGAGTATTGCCCCAGACATGGGCTCAACAGCGTCTTCTTGACCAAACGTCCCAGCAACCAATATACAGATGCATCCCTCCTCTGATATTGGAGGAGATCCATTCACTCCATTCTTTAAATGTCTGAAGCTCCTGATCTTGAGTACATCCATCCTGAACAAATTTGTCAAACTCTTTTTCAAGCTGGCACTCACCCCTTCTTGCCGTAAGACATACACTGTACATCAGTTTAAGCATATGCTGTGTGATGGAATACGTTGTTTTACCTGCTACAGGCTAGTCAGATAACAGTGCTGACACTACAGTATGCTAAAGGCAGCTTCCTTGTAGATTACATACAATAAAAGTCTCGGCTCTGTGAAATTACCAGAATGCCAGCACCCTTGTAGATGCTCACCCCTCTGGTAGAACACCTCACATCAAGCTTATACAAGGAAAAGGAGTAATCTCACAATTAGGTTTCACAAAACTACTGCACACTTGAAACACATGATGGCAAGTTTCAGTCCACTAAGAAACAACAGATTGAGTTATGAATCCGAGCCTAAAAACTGAAAAAGAAAAGGACCAGCACTTACCAGTGTGCAGCAAAAGGTCGACAAAGGTCTACATGGAAGTTTTTAAGATCTTTAAATCTAATTGCTGCTTCAATATATACAAACAGTATCCACAGTGATACTGTTGGTAAACATACGCCCCTCTCTGTTGGAGAGAGACAGAAAGAAAGCCAGTCATCATTAAAACATTTTGAAAAATCAAAATTCTTAAAACAAGGCTTGAACAAAATTAGCTGCTTTGCTCTTCTGACATTGATAACTAAGTCCATTTTACATCATTTGGCACTACAGTACATAATAGCAAAATAAAATTGCTTGGTTATAGTACAGATTGTGCTGAATTGTGCTCCCTGAAGGTATTGTAGTCTATTATGATGTTTTAATTAATACTACACTTAATTGATTTTAATAGCTTTCATGGTAGGGTTGGTTTTATTTGATTTTAATTATTTTATGATTATAGTTGTTTTACTTGTTATTACTTCCTTATGAAAACTGTAAGTTGCCTTTAACAGTGCTTTATAATGGAAAGAAATGAGTATGAAGAAGCAGAAGGAGGAGAAGGTGGAGGAGGAAAAGACGAAGAAGAGGCGGTGGTGGAGAAACAGAAAAATAGCAGAAATTTGAAGGAAATTAAAATCTGAAAAATCCTAACAGTCATGATACTCTGCAGTGGTTCCCAATCTTGGGTCCACAGGTGTTCTTGGACTGCAACTCCCAGAAGCCTTCACCACTAGCTGTGCTGGCCAGAATTTCTAGGAGTTGTAGTTCAAGAAGACCTGGAGACCTAAGCTTGGGAACAACTGGGTCTAGAGCAAAGATGCAATTCAAAATACACATAGCTACCAAGTATCAAATGTAAGTTAAATATCATAGTTTCAAGTACATATGGACAACCTGCCATTCCCTTCAGGACTTACCCTCTGAGTAAAGCTACATTTTTAAAGGCAGCTAGAAAGAAATTGAACTATCTCAGCAAAAACACCAGTTTTACCATGAAATATTTAGGGTGCCTTGGTTGTCAATGCAAAGATGCACTGGCTTTATGAAAGACCTGCTCCTGGCAGAAATGAAAACTGCTAGGGGATGTGGCTATGTACAATGCTATAGTGGGTGAAATCCTGTTACTTAACATAGTAAAATCATACTAAAGTAGGCCCACTGAATCGGTTGAGATTTGCTAAGTCTACTTTTTCACACCAAGTCCCTACCGATTCAATGGGCCTACATTAATGTGACTTACTACGCCAAGAAACAAGATTTCAGCCAAGGAATGTTTCAAAATTTGCCACTGTACACTGTTATCTGGGCACACCTGCACACTTTGCGGCTTCTTCCAAATGCATGCATGTGTTGGGCAGCTAGAGAACTGTGGACAGCAATTATTAAAAAGGTAGCTGTTGCATGTAGCACCAACAAGTACAAACATAAGAACTTAAATCCAAATTTTAACAAGAGTAGACACACTGAATCTATCGTTGAACAGTAAGTCAACAAGAATGCATATCTCACTGATTGAGTGGGCCCACTCTACATAGGATTAGCAGCTGGATTTGGGACAAGAATTGAACTGGAGTGGTGGCTTCACCTGGCACATTGCTGCTCAAGTACTGAACTGAAGAATCATATGAAACTGCATAGAATGCTCTAGAAAGTGACTCGCTCAATTTGTAAGCTTCCAGTTCTCCTCTTCCAAAGAGGAAACACAGGTTTTCCCCTTCTGTTTTTTTCCTACTCAGGGCAAGACAGGGTCACACCTCCAAGTTCACCTATTTTTGCATGTAATTTTTTTTTAACACAAGGTTGTTAACTTTGGAATTTCTGCCCTCTATCTCTTGATGCTGAAGATGTGGCAGTGGTAACAACACGGCATAGCAAGCCAAGGTTGTTCTCAGACTAAAAAACAGACTAAATGGATTATCAACAAGAGACTAGCCTAACTATGACTACATGTGTTTTTTTGCAAAAATAACCACCAAGCATTATTTTGTACTTTAGTCTAAGGCTGACATTTAACAGATGAAATGTAACAAGTAAGGCAACCAACCTGTGTGCCAGACATACTGTACCCAAACATATGTACTGGCAGCAAAGAACAGCCACTGTATTGGTATGAAGAGTAGACATATGATATTTGATGTGAACGCTACACAAACGAAAAATACTGAAAAGGCCTAAAGAGAAGAGGAAAGGGGGAGGAAGAAAGAGTAAAATATATGCATTAAAAATTGCTCTGAAGAGTTTACAAACAATGCATTGATAGCAATTACTTAAGCAGTTTAACTCATCTTGCATTAAGAAGCCACGTGACGTGCGATTTGTCAGTAATGATCTGTGTTGTTAATAACAGGAACAGGAACAGGAACATCTATTGTTGCATATAACTACTAGCATTATTACATTTATAACCATTATTAGTTATTGATTTTTACTACTATTTTTAGAAGAGGCTTTTGTCTGCCTATAGATTAATATGTCTTTCCTCTTCAACTTTCTCACACAGAAGACAGCTCTAGCAGACCAAATGTTTGTCTTGCATATCTTTAAAAAAACATGTTTTTGTTCAATCATGGAGCCCTAGTTCAATTTCTGTCTCAGTTATGAACTCACCAAGCAGCTTTAAATCTGAAATACGTGGAGAAGACTAATAACCTACCTGCCAGGGCTCTTCTAAGTATGACTGAAATACTAGATCTGAAGTACTCTGAATATAATCCAATTTTTGTTTACTTAGAAATAAGACTCGCTGAGTTCAACGGGGCTTATTCCAAAATGTGTGGGTAAAGACTGTCATTTCAGTCATATTCCCCCGTTATCTGTACTGCTAACTACATGAGAAAGCCTACTACAGTGGTGTCTCACTTGACGACGTTAATCCGTTCCAGCGAAATCGCTGTTAAACGAAATAGTCGTCAAGCGAATTCCATTGGAACGCAGTGAAGCCTTCAATGCATTCCAATGGGCTAAATACCTCATCGTAAAGCGAAGATCCTCCATAGGGCGGCCATTTTCGGGTGCCTGTATAGCGAGGAATCCGTCCTAAAGCACAGCGGGGAGCCGTTTTGCACAGCGGGCAGACATTTTAGAGCCGCCGATCAGCTGTCTGAAAATCGTCGTCTAGCACCACTGTACTTTTACCCTCTATTTGTGGAGCACTGATAATCACTTTGCAGAAGTCACCGACCATGAGAAAACAGAAATAAGAATCTAGATCTCCAAGTGTAAGCCCCCATTTGCTACAAATTCCTACCTATGGGCTGAACAACACTGAAATGTTTGCTAACCGACATGCCACTTCTATTCTTCTTGTTACATTTCTCTGATATTACTATGAGTTCTTGAAATATCTACAGGATCCAAGAGCTGAGACTTAAAGAGCTGCTCATATAAGAGAACTTTTGAGGCATCTTTCTCTTCGCAGCTGCTCAAGTGTTCTGAGAAGCTGCTCTGTATATGCACCGAAAGCCTCTGAACATGTGATCCAAGGCAAGAATAGGTAACCAGTCTCTACGTGTTCAAATGCTAGCAATCTTAATATAATCACTTAATGCCATACATACCAATCCCTGGTATCTGAAGGAATCATAAACACTCCTGATGAAAAGCCAGAAGGGCCACAAATATTCAAATCTGAATTCCAAAACAAAATCGGCCAGCAGCACAAGAGCCCAAACTACCAGGAATTTCAGGTACAGAAAAGTACTGGAAGAAGAAAAAAAGAAAGCAAAATATTAATTTTGTATGCATATAAAACAGCAAAGTAGTGAAACACTATCATTACATAAAGATGTAACAGTCAGGTAAACAGGCAAAATGTACTGAAAATTACACTGAGTAACTCAAAAGTTTCATACACAGTGTAAGACAGAGACAACAAACTTAGGTGTCTTAAGCTAAATGTCTCTGTTCAGTTAGAGTAGAAAGTATACAGTATTTTGGTAGCAACCAGAAGAAAAAATGTACTCCTTTTCCGAGATCCTTACACCATTACCAGGCCCCAGAGAAAGAAAACCAGGAATTTCAAAAAGTAGCACATTCATCATTTAAAAGAAAGCATATGTCCCATAGCTGTGGATTTTAATTTGTGGGTTTGTGGCATCAGTTTGAAGTGTTCATATAATTTCTACTTTGTACACAGCTGCAGAAGTTTGGAACTTTGGCCCTACTTAAGCATCATGCAAAATATAGAAAATGACTTTGCTTAAGTATCTCTGAGGCAGCGTGAGATCCATATGTGGTCACGAGAGGCATATAGCAGAAAACCTGAATTCTCATAAATGAGAATTAATTTGGCATGAAGGACTCAACTGCATGCTACTGCGTACCAGCACTAAAGAACAAGTCTGAGAAGCATGAAGCTGGGTGCTAAAAAAATATAAACCATTTTATTTCATTAAAAGATGGCAAGATGCTCACCCCTTGAACAAAATTACTCCACAAAGCAGCCACCACTACTTGTCTAGTAGTGGCAACAATTATTTCCTAATGTAAGATACCAAATAGGAGCTTTGCTTTCTTGGTTACTAAACAACACCTAATTGTTGTTTAACTATGTAATGGCCCTTGTCTTCTAATAACATATGCCTAAACTTTCAGAGCTTCCTTTCACAAATATCAGATACTGCTAGTTTTTCAAGAATTATTTCAAGTGGTTCTTTCCTTCTTTTTTCCCCCTATCATTCATATTCAACCTAATTCCCATACTGAGGACCACTGCCTCAGCCACCTACAGTAATCTTATTGCCAAAGGCTCAACTCCTTCTGAACACTTGATTCATATATTCTGAAACTGCTTATCTTCCACTGATCTAAATACCAAAAAGGTATTTGTTCTTTCAGGTAAAGATACAATACACAAATTAATTGAATTAGCAATTGTTCCAACTATGTTTCAGCAATAACAATGTGTTCGCTGAAAGACTGAATAGTGCATGTTATGCCTTTAAACAACACGATTCAGTCAGTGAAGGTGTTCATACTACAGTACTTGTCTGGTCAAATATATATGGAAGGCTTTCAGCTCTTGAAGCCCCTAGGACATGGACCAGGGGCTTGGATGCGTCTAGCCAACCACCTATAATTCTTGGATCTTTCTTGGCATGTCCAAACCCACTTAATAAGGCAAAAATAATTCTGACTAGGCCAAGAGGTTTGTTATACCAATACAGCAGAATGGTTAGAGTGTTAGATCTGGGAAATCCATGCTCATATCCACACTCAGCGATGAAAACTATTATCTTTCCCCGAAAATAAGACAGAGCCTTATATTATTTTTTGCTCCAAAAACACATTAGGGCTTATTTTCAGGGGATGTTTATTTGATCAAACTTCCCACCAACAATCTACATTTATTCAAATACAATCACGTCATCTTCTTCTGGTTGCTGCACAAGGGTGGAAGGCGGGGTTTCACTTAACTAGGGATTATTTTTGGGGTAGGGTTTATATTACGAGCATCCTGAAAAATCTTATTAGGACTTATTTTCAGGCTAGGTCTTATTTTTGGGGAAGCAGGTTATGGATGACTCTCTCTAAGCCAGATCTACTTAAGAATTGTTGTGAGGATTAAAGAGAGGGCAATGAAAAGAGCCTCTCACTGGAGGAAGAGGGGATGCAACAATAGCAAATAATAAACAAATACCCTATGCTTCCCTTGAGATGGGAATAGTAACAGTTTCTTTGGATGCTGCCATAATTCAACCCCAGAAGATAACTTTAACAACATTAAGAACTTTAGGCCAGTAACTATCATTTCCTTCCTCGACAAGCTGTTCATGCAGGTGGTTGCTAGGCAACTTCAGACATTCTTCGGCAAGGATAATTTTTAAAAACCTATTTCAGTCTGGATTAAGGCCTAGATTTGCATATAAGACGGCCCTAGTGTCCTGTAGGACAATCACTGTCAAAAGTAAAACAGGGGAGCGTGTTGAGCCTGTTTTCTACAACTTCATGGCAACATTAAAGCACCATTACCTCTAGATCAGGATATGACTTATTGGTTTAATTCCAGCTACTGTCTCTGGGTCAATCAGAACATCACATACACACACAAACAAAATATAAAGACAAAACATACCCCCCCACACACACATACCACTTATTGTGACAGGAACCAGCCTCAGGCTTTCATCTCCCCTCTTCCTTTTTCCAGCCAAGACAGAAATAAACTGAAAAGATGGTTTCCTATCCTTTATTAACTACAGGTTAGCATCTTATCCCAACCGTAAAACATTGTTCCCCAGCTTCAGGATATGGCAACGTTCCATCGGAGATGTGAGAACATGTAAGAAACGGCAGCTACTGACTGCCAGCGTAACATCATACTAGGAAAGCTTCCAGAACAAATAATTAAATAGTCCATCCATGGGCACTCAGAAAAAATATTGTAATTCCCAAAATTTAGTATGATTTCTCAAAAATATGATATGCCAAACTAATATTGTGTCTTCTTCTGACAGTATCACAAGCTTAGTAGATTACGGGAATGCTGTGGACAGTGTATGTTGACTTCAGCAAAGCTTCTGGCACAATGCCTCCTACTATTCTAGTGGCCAGGCTGCTTCCAATTGAGCTAGATGATGCTATGGTTAGGTGGATTAACAGCTGACTCACAGGACATACCAACAAAGTGTTCTCCAATAGTTGTTCATTGGGTTCATTGGTGAGAAGTGGCAAGTGGAGAGCCTGCCACAGGATTCTGTCCTGGGCCAGATGAGAGTACGGAAGGGTGTTTATCAAATTTGCAAATGACACCAAACTGGGAGGGGTAGCTAATACTCCAAAAGTCAGAAACAAGATTCAAGATTACCTAAACAATTTGCAGAAATGAGGCAAAATAAATTTGAACAGGGTAAAATAAAGTTCTACTTTTAGGCAGGACAAATGCACAAATGTAAGATGCGGACAGCTGGTTTGGTGTTAGCACATGTGGAGAAAACAACAACAACAAGGAGTCTTAGTAGACCACAAGCTTAACATGAGTCCATCATGTGATGCAGTTGCAAAAAAAAATCGACAACAACCTTCAGCTCTGCTCCGGGCACCACAATTTAAGAAAGATATTTACAAGCTGGACTATGCCCAGAGGATGGTGATCAGAATAAAGAAAAATATGGAAACAAAGCTCCATGAGGAATAGCTGAGGGAGCTGGCTGCATTTAGCCTGGAAAAGAGAAGACCGAGGCACAGCACAATAGCCTTCAAATATCACATATTCTGTAGCTCCAGAGGGCACGATCCAGAGTAATTAATTCAAATTAGGAGAAAGGAGATTTTGCGTACAGGAAGAACTTCTTGGCAGTAAAAGCAGTTTGACGATTAAGCAGATTGTCATGGAGAGTGGTGACCTCCTTCCTATGAGGATTTCAACAGAGGTTAGAAGGCCACCTCTTAGTGATGCTTTACTTGTGGACTTCCTTCTCTGACATGGGATGGGAGCTAGTGATCCTTGTGGTCCCTTCCTGCTCTACAGTCCTATGATTCTAAGATGCGAAGGGCGCATGTATGTGCAATTAGGTTGCCTGGGATACAGAATGGTCATTAATGAATATGAACAGCTCCGTAGTATTATTTTACTATCCATACATGACAGAAGGCTCTCCTTCCACACAGTCAAACAGCTCATTTTCACCAGACTAATTATTCAATCTGGCTCTTGCGAGTAGCATGAAGAAATTATGCCAAAGGAATGAAATAACAGAATCCAAGAGTGACTGCATGAGGCATCACAAAAGTGGAATAAAATTCAGAGAATTTTTTTCAAGCAGTTATCAGACACCCAACGCTCAGGTAAGAGCCTTCCTGGTCTTACAAACACTGGTGGACCCTGGAGAGTGAAACAACATTTTGCTTTTCGAAAGGTGGCTCTTTCATTTCCAATAGAATGTCCAAAAACTAATGTATCTGCTGGAAGCATATATAAAAGAATCCAAACTGCACAGTTGAAAAAAAACCCTGTTCATATAATTGCTGAAGAATCTTACAGTAAGATATTCCTGGAAAAATGAAGTCTACTTCTTGGTTCAGTTGTATTTACATACAGTACTCTAAAGATTTGTCATGATCTCCTAAAATAATAGCATGCCAAAACACAAGCAGATGGTGAAACACATTCGGAAAAGCTAATAACTTTATCAAGCTTAAGATCCAATACAGTCTATGGCTACTGCTGATAATGTTTGACAGGATTATTTTTGTAGCCAGTATGGAATGGGTTTCAAATTCCTTCGAAGAAAATAATTCTGTTTAGCATGGATACAAATTCTTGTCTTTCTCATAGACACACACATTCTTACAGTTAAAGTGAACTGTGTAAAAGGAGGAGGAACAGATGCTTCAGCATACTTCCAATCTCCTCAGGTCAGGAGAATGGGCCTCTCTGTTCATCACCTTGGTCCCAATGTCAAATCCCACCCCACCTGGTTCATGCAATGGGGGGGGGGGATGAATTCAGGAAGAACAGCAGAAAGCCCCCTGCCTTTTGAAGTAGTATGCTTCATACTGTCACACCAGTATGAAGAAAAGCAATGAAGAGGGCAGGTTTTCAACAAACTTGAACAGCAGCGTTGATAGGAGATTTTAAGCAATTTTAACCTATTTGTGTTGCACTTCAAAAGTATTAGAACAAAAGGCCACCAGATTAACACCTAGCTACCCTGGGTGTGAAAATAGGCCTATGAACAGTGGCAAGATTTATTTCTTTGGCACTAGGTTTCACATAACATTATCATACACTCTAATCTAACTAGATAAGCTTACAGGTTATTCTTTTTTCAAGCAGGTACCAGTTTCTGTCATCTAAATCCATTACACTCTATTGAAAACCTGCTCCACATACGCTAAGCAGATCCTCTGATCAACAGCACTTTCTATTATGTGCAGCTTTTTGAGCGTTTGTGCTTTGGAGATTAAGTCAATTCTATGGAGATAAGATTCCATCTTCTCTTTCTGTATGTCTGTACTTAGCTCCACTCTTTATTGACTTCCTCC